CCACCTCCCTCCTCAAGGCCACACATGGCAACTTTGAATCAAGAACACCTATGATGTCAGCCAGGGGGTGACGTCTCAGGAAAGTCACAGAAGGGTCTTGTGGGCCAATGCATGGCCCTTCCTGGGAGCATGTTTTCAACGATAAAGCTGAAGTCTGCCAACAGAAAAGAAAAATAACAAGCTCTGATCCTCAGGCCAAGAGTAAATCACAGCCCTTGCATCATGCATGAGGGTCACTGTGACCATGTCACTGTGACCATGTGACCATGAGGGTCACATGTGACCCAGCTCAGAGATCAGTCCCCCAGTTCATCCTGACCTTGCTCAAGGGCAAGGTTTTCTTTCTGCCCCACCCACCTCTTCACACACAAGGAGCATCCATGGTTGTCTGCCATTGTTTGACTTTGGGTTGATCCCAGCATGTCCCCTCTGCCCCAGGGACTCCGCTCCCTCTGCACCTGCCCCTTGCATCCCATATGTTCTCTGCTGCCGCCGCCTCCTGCTCCCTGCTCCTTCCCAGCCCTCAGCTGTCTTCCTCAGTGGAGAGTTAGCTTCCAGATCTTTCTTTCATTGAGGTTAGTGGTAACCACGCATCTGTTTGTGCTCCTGGGTGGCCTGGGGACAACCGCAGCAGAGAGGAAGGAAAGTGCACAGAAAATCAACTGTTCTTCTGCTCTGATAGAAAACCCGCTTCCCTTGTCCATTAGCTCGGTTGGACCTTCTACACTTTGGGAGGTGGATTTTGCCATTAATCCTACTTGGCAGGTGAAGGAACCAAGGCTTTGACTCTACCCCATGCCTGTAATCACTAAGGAAAATTTCCATCTCTTTCCTTCTTCCCCCCTGCAAGGAGAATCTGCTGGGATGGAGACTTGGGAGGATATTGAGAGAGGAGAAGATAAATGAGAGGTGTGCAGGGGATGGGGCAGGGATGGGGCAAGTCTTTTGGGTGAGGTCTTTTGAGAACAGCTCCTGTGGTGTACCTTTTCAGTGAATGGGAGACAGAAAAGCAGGATTTCAGGAGCTCCTGGTGGGTGATTATGGCAGGTTTCCAGATGTTCAAGAAATAGATAGGAACAAATCTGAGTCATTTTGAATTTATTTTGGGGTATTTAGACTGTCTTGTCTGAAGGGAACAGCTGAGCCACGAGGGTCCCACCTTTACAAGCTTTGTCATATGAGGTGAGGGCCAGGAGTCAGCCTGAGGCCTCTCAGCTCTGGTACTGTATCCTTTCAGTGGTCCTAGGTGCCTGTTCACCATGTGCGAGGCCTCAACCCAGTCCCAGGGCAGTTGGCTTGCTGAAGAGTCCAATAGCTAATGTTCTGCCTTGGATGTGCAGAACCAGCCAGCAAGGCCCCCGCAGCATCTGCTGGTGACTGGGTGCTCCTGCAGGGTGGGGCTGGCCTTTAGCTATAGCATCTTCTCCTCTGGAAGAAATTCCACTCCTGGGTCCTGAGCCTCTTGTCTCCTCTGGTTCAGCTCTATGTCCCCTTTAAGGTCCTTCCTAACCAGCCAGAGGCCAGGGAACCAGGACAGGGCAGGGACATTCCTCACTGAGACTGTGTATAAGCAAAAAACAAAACAAAACAAAAACAAAAACAAAACACCAGAAAAGAGTAGAACTTAGAACTTAGAAATGTGTGGAAATAGGAAGCCAAGGACCAAGATGCAGAAAGGGAATCTGAAGAGCCAGAAGCAGGTCCCAAAGCTTACAATTCCAATAAGCCTTCATCCATCCGTCTTCTCCATTCATTCACTCATTCTTTCATGCACTCACTCCTTCTACAAATATGTCAGGCCCTGAACTATGTGCTGGGGACACTATAGAGAACTTCATGATGCCCCCAGTCCTTGAAGTGCTCATATGCCAGTGGAGGGGACTGATATCACACAGCCCCTTTTGTGAGATAAGGTCAAGCGATGGTAAAGGCTACAGAGAAAAATACATCTGAACAAGAGGATGAAGAAAGCCTGGAGGGAGGCTGGGTCCTTCAGGTTGGGTGATCAGGGAAGGCCTCTGAGAAGGTGACATGGCTGCTTGGATAAAGGTAGAGGATGTTCCAGGCAGAGGGAACAACAGCAAGTGCAAAGGCCCTGAGGCAGTACCTGGCTAAGGGATGCCAAGAAACTAGTGGTGTGGCTCACAGGGAGCAAGGAAAAGAGTGGTAGAATATGAGAAGAAGAAATAGTAAAGTTTAGGCCATGGAGCCCTTGTCAGCCAAAGGAAGGACTTCTCAGATTTTTTTGTTTTTAAGTGAGATGGGAACCCATTGAACAGTTTTTTTTTAAGATTTTATTTATTTATTCATGAGAGACAGAGAGAGAGAGAGAGAGAGAGAGAGAGAGAGAGGCAGAGACACAGGCAGAGGGAGAAGCAGGCTCCATGCAGGGAACCTGACATGGGACTCGATCTCGGGACTCCAGGATCACGCCCTGCCATTGAACAGTTTTAAGCAGTATAATAACACAATCTGATTTTTTTTTTAAATGTACCGTGAGCCCAGCCATACTCAGGTCAGCTCTCCTCACTCTGGAGTCCCAGAGCCAGAGGTCTCTGAGAGTAACCCACTTCACAGCCCTCCTGCTAGATTCAAATTTTCTAACCCTGCTTTCCAGCTGTTTGCCCTGGTCTTCTTGTGTGTTGACTCACATTTCCTGCCCCTAAGCCCTGCCAGCTCCAGCTTTGGCAACTGTTCTGTCTCCTTTCTGTCAATCTGGGGCCCAGGAAACACAGCAAAGTCACAAAAGGCACATTTGCATCTCACCCGCATGAGTAGTGCAAAAAAGGAGGGGGTAGCTCTAATAAACAAATATTTGGAGTAGGAAGCTCTCAAGCAAAAAGAGAAGGGAAAAATGATCCAAATACAATGAAATAAAGATTCCCCTGCTGGCCACGTTGCTGAGGTGCTGACATGGATAGCAGGTGTTCACTTCTATTTAAGACTCTTTGTGATCATTCTGAAGCCATACAGCAAATGGGCCCTTCAGGGAAAAGCCCTGCCCATAGCTTTGTATATGGGAGCTTGAGAAGCAGGGAGGGGAAAAACTCACCCACAGTTACATGGTTGCATGCCAACTGTCAGGGCTCAGCTCCATCCTAGGCTCCGGACAACCAACTATGGCATCTTTCAGCAACCCCATGTTGTCTCTCGGCAAAGATTTATGAAAAGCTGGACGGTAATAAAATTATCTTATGCCACACTTCCCCCTAACGCAAATGAAGAAACTGATTTGAGGAACAGAAACTCGGTTAAGATTTGCCCACCAACAAACAATGTTGAGGAGAAAGTTGAATGCCTAAAATAGAAGGACATACAAGAAGAAAATAGCCTCTCATGTGACAGAGAGCATTATTTCTACTCTGAATAATGGAAATACTGCCTGTGAGAAGTCGTATCCTCAAACAGAGAAAGTCCAAGGTCTGATGCAAGCCTCTTCGATTTACCATAAAATCACTGCTATTTGTAGAGTTCAGTATTTTGCAAAACATGAGCGTCAGACTCATCCTCTCATTTGCTCTTTGCAATAACCCTGAGAGGAGCTGAAAGTCAGTATCGTCATATCCCCATCCTAAAAATGAGGGGACTGAGGCTCAGCAAAATAAAATGACTTCCCAAAAAAGCCTTGAACCTGGGGCACTGGGGTGGCTCAGTGGTTGAGCATCTACCTTCAGTTCAGGTCATGATCCTGGGGTCCTAGGATCCCCCGCAGGGAGCCTGCTTCTCCCTCTACCTATGTCTCTGACTCTGTGTGTCTCTCATGAATAAGTAAATAAACAATCTAAAAAAAAAGATCCTTGAAACTTAGGCTGTTGAATTCTTTCAATGAGGTATAGTAGAAGGAAGGAAGCATAGAAAGAAGGAAGTTAGGAAGTCATGGGTTGGAATTCCGACTTCGCTACATACTTAGCATACCAAGCCTCAGTTGGCTCATCTGTAAAATAGGGAGAATAAATAACACCTACCTGGCAGCCATTGTGAGGATCAAATGGGGAAATGTGTGAGAAGCACTCAGCTCAGTGCCTGACACATTGTAGATCCTCATGGTTATTAATATATACAACGTCTTCTTTTTCTTCTTCTTTTTATTAATTTCATTTTAAACACATGACTGGCAGACACAGAAGGGAAGCTCTTTTCCTACCAATGAAGTCACTCCTGCATTGATTGGCCTGGTTTCTTATTGAGAAAGATGTTGGCTTAGTTTAAGCAGAGATTCATTTAACAAAAAAATCCATTGAGGGGGGTCACCAGAAAGGAAATGTACAGGTGAAGATGGCCAGAACTTCATTCCTTCATTCAGTGCATATTAATGAAGCATTTACCCAAGTTGAGCTTTAGGGAGATCACATAGACAAGGTGGGGATAACCCTGAGCCTCAGGGAACATCAGTTATTACTCAAGTCACATATGACAAATTTAAGTTATATATGATAAACATCAAGCAGGTCATTTGCATCACCAAGATGGCTGTCTTAGTCTGTTTAAGTTGCTATAACAAAATACAATATACTGAGTGTCTCATAAACAATGGAAATTTATTTCTTATACTTGTCAAGGCTGGGAGTCTCAGTGTCTGGCGAGAACCTCCTTCCTGATTCATAGACAGCCATCTTCTTGCTATATCCTCACATGGCAGAAGGGACTAGGCAGTCCTCTGGGGCCTCTTTTATAAGGGCAGTAATTCCTAATCACCTCCCCAAGCCCCATCTCCTAAGACCACTACCTTGAGGATTAGACTCCAATATATGAATTTTAGGGGACACAATCATTCAGACTAGAGCAATGACTTAGATACATGTGGTTAACCCTGGCTCTCTGAGAGCTCAGAATTAATAAACAAACAGAAGCACTTTCTTCCCCTCTGTTTCCTCCACTTATCTATAAAATCCACTCCCGTTAAGTGAGCATCCGATCAAGGCAGAGAAAGTAATAGTCCTTGGTGATTCCCATCACTGCTGCTCACGTTCCATTACTGAGAACTAATCACATGACTATACCTGGATGTAGTCCTTGACGGGGCAGTCACTTTCCACGCCAGGCAGTGGGGAGCAGGAAGCTTTGGTGGCCGATTGGCCACCTCTGCTGCAGCCAGAAAGGAGGCTGACCATACCAGTAATCATAACACCTAATGAAAATAACACAGGAAAGTTGAATAGAAAGATATGGAAAGAGATAGAAAAAAGTATGCCAGATTCATACTAACACTATTCATTTCACACAAAGTAAAATTCAAAATGAAAAGCACTAAAAGGAATATCTCATAATTACAAAAGTACAACCTACTTAATATGTCACAAACCTTTATGTACCTAAAATCTTAGCCTCAAAATGTATAAAGCAAGCCCTGATAGAAATGCAAGTAGATGCTAATGAGTTCTCATAATGATGGCTATTTTTTAATTAAGTTTTTATTTTAATTCCAGTGTAGTTAACATACATTGTTATATTAGTTTCAGGTTTATATAACATAGTGATTCAATAATTTCATACATCACCTAGTGCTCATCATGACAAGTGCACTCCTTAATTCTCATCACCTATTTCACCCATTCCCCACCTACCTCCCCTCTGGTGACCATCAGTTTGTTCTCTAGAGTTAAGAGTCTGTTTCTTGGTTTGTGTCTCTCATTTTTCTTTTTTCCTTTGCTGATTTCTTTTCTTTTTTTTATTATTTGTTTTGTTTCTTAAATTCCACATATGAGTGAAATCATGTGGTATTTGTCTTTCTCTTACTGACTTATCTCATAGCCACTGTGGAAAACAGTATGGAGAGAAACCAGTATTACACTATACTTCGACTACCTAGAATTTAAATAAAAACTTGAAACTATGAAAAAAATTAAAAATAAGTAAAATTTTTAAAATTAAAAGAAACAATATGGAGATACCTCAAAAAGTTAAAAATAGGGACGCCTGGGTGGCTCAGCAGTTGAGCCTCTGCCTTTGGCTCAGGGCATGATCCTGGGGTCCAGGACTGAGTCCCACGTCGGGCTTCCTGCATGGAGCCTGCTTCTCCCTCTGCCTCTGTTTCTGCCTCTCTCTTTGTCTTTCATGAATAAATAAATTAAAAATCTTTAAAAAAAAAGTTAAAAATAGAACTATCCTGTGACCCAGTAATCACACTACTGGGTATTTACCAAAGAATATAAAAACACTAATTCAAAAGAATACACGCACCCCTATGTTTACAGGAATATTATTTACAATAGCCAAACTATGGAAGCAGCCCAAGTGTTCATCCATAGATGAATGGATAAAGAGGTTATATATATATATATATATATATATATATATATATATATATATAATGTTGATATATATAAATGTTGATTATATAAGAGATGATATATACATATAGACAAAACGGAATATTATTCAGCCATAAAAAGAATGAAATCCTGCCATTTGCAACAACAGGGATGGAGCTAAAGAGTATAATGCTAAGGGAAATAAATCATGATAAGTGGTGACTTTAAACAAAGTCAGAAATTAGCTGATCAATTATTACAGGAAGGAATAAGGCTCAAGAAGTCCGGGCTAATAAAATGAACAATTATGACCTAATAGATACATGGAGAGAAATAACTCTATATCCAACAGAGATTATACCTTCTTTTCAAACTCTCATCAGACATTCTGGTGTATTAGGTCACAAAAGCACTCACAACAAATCCCCAGAAGGAAAACTTTTGTAGTATAAATTCATGAACTATAATGGAACAACATTAGAAAATAATAGCAAAAGGGTAACTAACAAAAATCTATTGTCTTGTGTATTTTACATGACTCATGAGTCATAGGCTTGAAAGAAAGTAAAGCCAGAAACGACAAGCTATTTAGAACCACATTAACAACAGTGTATATGTATCAAAACCCATGGGCTATGCTGAGGCAGCATTCAGAAGAAAAATAGATAGCCTTAAATGCTTAGGGTGGAAAACCAGAAGGGTTAAAAATAAGTAAATCAACCAAACTTTCAACTCAAAAAGCTGAGGGCAGAGATGAAAAGGGGAGAGAGAAAATAAATATAGAGAAAGTTGAAGGGGGAGGGGGAAATCAAGGAGGATAAAGGTAGAAATTAAAAACAGAACAGAAAAAGGAAATAGAATTGATGAGTTAAACTGGTTATTTGAAAGAACTGATAGAAAGACAAATCTTTGCCATACCTGTCAAAAGAAAGAAACAGGACAAAATCATAAGTCAAAAATTATAAGAACGTAAATTACAAAGTTAAAAAATTGTAAGAACCTTTATGGCAAGCACTTTGAAAATCACTAGTTGAAGTGACTAATTTCCTAGGAAAATATTTATAATAAAGATTCATTCAGGGAAAAGTAGGAAACTTGACTAGCTTCTTAACCATAGAGGGGTGCCTGGGTGGCTCAGTTTTTTAAGTGTCCAACTCTTGATTTCAGGGTTGTGAATTCAAGCCCTGCGTTGGGCTCCATGCTGGGATTGGAGACTACTTAATACAAAACAAAAACAAAAACAAAAACAAAAAAACCTTAACCATAAGAGAAATTGAACAGATACTCAAAGATCTACCTCTGAAACAGGCATCAAACCTAGAGGGCTTTTCAGAAGGTAGATTTTACTAAACCTTTAACAAAGAGCTAATTCTATTTGAACTATCTCAAGAACCTAGGAAAAAACAGGAATCTCATCTAAGTCACTTTACAGTTTCAATACAGTATAGATCCCTGATATATATCTTTATTTTTATCTCTCTATCCAAACACATATATGTACATATCACTTTAAAAACAAAGATGCAAAATTCCATATCCAGCAGTGTATTAAAGGGATATCACAAAATGGTCATTCTAGGAATGTAAAGATGTTTAAATATTAACTATCTATTAAAGAGGGGCTCCTGGGTGGCTCAGTTGGTTAAGCATCTGCCTTCAGCTCAGGTCATGATCCCAGGGTCCTGGGATTGAGCCCCATGTCAGGTTCCCTGCTCAGTGGGGAGCCTGCTTCTCCCTCTCCCTCTGCCACTCGGCCTGCTCATCCTTTCTCTCTCTCTCATGCTCTCTCACTCTCAAATAAGTATTTTTAATTTTTTAAAAAGATTTTATTTATTTATTTGAGAGAGAGAGCAAGCACAAGTGGGGGGCAGAGGGAGAGGGAGAAGGAGAGGGAGAAGCAGACCCCCCTGATCAGGGAGCAGGACACAGGGTTCAATCCCAGGACCCTGAGATCACACCTGAGCTCAAGGCAGACACTTAACCGACTGAGCCACCCAGGCGCCCCTCTCTCAAATAATAAATAAAATCTTTTAAAAGAAGGATCTATTAAAGAGGTGAAAGTAGAAAAACAGTATGATCATATTAACAGATGTTTTAAGAGCACTTGCTGAAATTTAACACCTAGTCATGATAGCAACCCAGGAAAAGAAAGGTCTTAAACCTGAAGAAGTGTGTTAGTAACCTAAATAAGAACCATTTTAATGTGTTAAATATCATAAATCCCTCCCATAAAAGTCAGAGATAAGATGGGATTCCTATTCAACATTCTAATGCAGTTATGAGATATTACATTAAGAGGAGGAATAGCTCACACTATTCATCTTTTTTCTTCTCTTTGGATTAATGGAAACAATCCTGTTTGCACTTTACAATTTACAAAAGACTTCCATAAGCCTTATCTCCTGTGACATCCACCCCTCATAACCAAATGAGATCAGGTCCAAGTATTGTCATCCCAACTTTGGAATGAGAAACCCAAGGATCATAGAATTTTTAGATTTCCCTAAAGACACATAGCTAGTAAGCAGTGTTGGGGAATAGACCCCAGGTTTTCTTATTCTTAATCACATTCAATTAGGAATAAGAAACCAGGGATGCCTGGGTGGCTCAGTGGTTGAGCATCTGCCTTCAGCTCAGGTCATGGACCTGGAGTCCTAGGTCGAGTCCTTCATTGGATTCCCCAGGGAGCCTGCTTCTCCCTCTGCCTATGTCTCTGCCTTTCTCTCTGTGTCTCTCTTGAATAAATGAATAAAATCTTTAAGAAAAAAAAGTAATAAGAAATCAGACTTTAAAAACAATACAGTTAACCTTTGAACAACATGGGTTCAAACAGCACAGGTCCACTTATATGCAGTTTTTTTTTCAATAAATGCAGTGCAGTACTTTATTTCTTTAAAGATTTTATTCACTTATTTGAAAGAGACAGAGCATGAGCAAGGGGGGGAGTTTGGGAAGGGAGGATGGAGAGGGGCAAGGGAGGGGCGCTGGAGGGGAAGGAAAGGGGGAAGGGGGAGCGGGAGAAGCAGACTCCCCACTGAGCACGAGCCCAACATGGGGCTCGATCCTGGGACTCCAGGATCATGACCTGAGCTGAAGGCAGACAGGCGCTTAACTGACTGAGCCACCCAGGCACCCCAACAGTACAGTAGTTTAGATGTATTTTCTCCTTCTTAGGATTTTTGCCAACCTACTTTACTGTAGGGATGCAGTATATAATACGTATAACTACAAACTATGTGCTACTCCACTGTTAATGTTATCAGTAAGGCTTCTGGTCAATAGTAGGCTATTAGTAGTTAACTTTGTGGGGAGTCAAAGTTATACATGGATTTTCGATTGTGTGGGGCTCAGTACCCCTAACTCGAGTGTTGTTCAAGGGTCAACTGTATATCTCATTACTACCAGTGATCGACCCTGACCAGGTCACTGTGCCTCTGAACAAGCTACGTCAGTACCCCAGGAGCTGACTGGGGTGAGGATAGGGGGGACACTGCACAGTGAATAAGACAGAACGAAGAGAGGGGGAGCACTAAAGACAAACTTTTTGGTACCAGGGCATATGTGCCTGGATGCCATTTGATGGGGCTGGCCAACACTCATGTTTGTGCCAATGATGCTACTACCAATGATGATACTCTTCTGAGTACCCATCTATGTCAGCTCATAGACCCTCACAAAAACTCTCATGAGGTCAGCCCTATTACCATTTACCCTCATTTTACAGTTGAAAAAAGTGAGTAATATATCCCAACTTACAGATTTAATAAGTGATAGTGCCAGGAAGCCTGGCCCCAGAGTCTTCGGATATAATCACTACATTACAATGTCTTTAAGCCAGTACCCTGGTTCTAGGAGTGAGAGTAGAAACCAACCTTTT